AGACCAGACAGACACTAATTGTTTTTGGTTTATTTGTTTTTTTCCCCCTCTCAACTGCTATGGTCATTTGACTGCGCGCACCCCAAGTTTTTTCTCCTCTGGGAAATTTCACTTCCCGCCTGCTACTTAATTTTCTTTTAATTGCCTAATAGTTAAAATATTTCAATTTCGTTGTAAAACATTTGTGATCTTCAAACAACTTTTAAGTACAATAAAAATTTTGAATAATATCTGTTTCCCTTTCCACCTCCCCATAAAGGCCAATGGCCTTTTTAAATTTTAAAATTCTGCCGGGAACAACGACGGAGAAAATACAGACAGACAGACAAAGAGAGAGAGAGAGAGAGAGAGAGAGAGAGAGAGAGAGAGAGGGGGAGAGAGAGAGAGAGAGAGAGAGAGAGAGAGAGAGAGAGAGAGAGAGAGAGAGAGAGAGAGAGAGAGAAAGAGAGAAAGAGAGAGAGAAACATAGAGAACGGTGTGCTTTACAAAGTCGAAAAGGTCATAAAAACAGATGATTCTTTTGTAATTTGAAATCATAAGACATTCGTCTTTTTTGTTCATGGATAGATAGATAGATAGATTGATAGATAGATAGATAGATAGATAGATAGATAGATAGATAGATAGATAGATAGATAGATACAGGCAGAGAGAGAGAGAGAGAGAGAGAGAGAGAGAGAGAGAGAGAGAGAGAGAGAGAGAGAGAGAGAGAGATTGGGGGCTAAGAGAAAGGGAGAGAAGTAAGAGAGACAGACAAAGAGAGAAAGAGATGGTAAGAGAGAGAGGGGGCGGGGAACTGAGACAGATAAAAAGGCAAAGCGTGAAATACAGACGGACAAAGTAAAGAGACAGAGAGAGAGAGAAAGAGAGAGAGAGAGAGAGAGAGAGAAAGAAAGAGAGAGAGAGAGAGAGAGAGAGAGAGAGAGAGAGAGAGAGAGAGAGAGAAAGATTGATAAGTTTGCATGATCTGTTTTATTTCCATATCCGATATTTTAAGGTATTTTGATACTTTCTCATGATCACTTTTCCTTCATCCAGTGGCGGTGGGTGGACCAAGATTTGGGTGGGGCTTAGGTTTCTTCCAAATATTTACCACCAAATAGCAAGTGATAAAAACTAAACAGTGGTGATTTTTCTATACTCACGGCGAGCGAGCCACGGCATTTTGAGAACCATCAAACGAGAATAGTCACCTTTGTCTTCCATCTCTTTTTTCTACGTTAAATTCTTCTGGATGGTAGGGACGAAGCCATTTCACCTCCAACTTTCTCTAATTAATTTTTATCTGATGAAAAAGTTGCCTCAAAAGTGGTTTTATGTAATTAACAATTGTTAAATCTCAGCGGCACAAACACACATCACTCCAAACACATACCGTCTATGAAGGGGATTGGGTCGTTTTGTTGCGGAAAATAGAACACGCCTAACAAAGGCCCAATGGGCGCATAGGTATCTGTGTCACTGGGGGAAAGTGTGTCGTAAACATTCACCCCATTGTCAGGGCTGGGAGAGCGTGGGCCCTCTGTGCAGTGTAATTTTTTTCAGTCTTCTATCTTTTTACAAGAGGGATTTCATTAAGGAGGGACCATGGAAACGGGCTGGTTGATTGCTGAGCCCTAAAGACATTTGATTGGCTGTTAGGTTACTATAGTTGTAAGCCGTGACAACAGTGATTGGATAAACGAGCAAGCCTCCAAGTGGACCACTCTGTGTTCATTGCGTGCGATCAGACAGTTTCAACAGCTTACTTCGTTATTTTCATTTGCCTTGGGATGGACTTGAGGAGTGGGGAGGGGGGCACAAGCCCGTGAGCCCTTCACTACCCACCGCCACTGCGTTCATCTAACGTGTTCACTATCTTAAAAGAATAACCTCACGCCTGACTTATGACATATTGATACTATCTCACCATGTATTTTTATTCCATATCTGTACAAGACATGCTGATACATCCTAGCTATCACTATCTCTTTTTAAAAAATGTGTATGCAATATCTATAAAAAATATTGATACTTTCACTTTCTCACCTTCTATTCTATTTCGTGTCCGATACAAGTCATGCTGAAACTTTCTCGCTATATTAAAAAAATATTCATACTGGATAATATAAAACACAGTATTATTTTCATACAATCTTTTTATGTCATATCCGATACATTATTATTGTGAGGTACTTTACTTTTACTTTACTTTTTCATCCTCTGTTGCCGTTAAGCGTCGAGGGGAGATGCAGTTTTCTATGGTAGGCCAGCTCCGCAGCTCTTTCAGTTGTGATGTTATATTTTTTTTAGGGTTTCCTTGACATCCTTGATCCACCTTTTGCGTGGCCTTCCTCTTCCTTTATAGCCTGAGTGCTTGGTGTTGTAGGCTCTCAAGGCTGGCTGGTCAGGTGACATGCGTAACAGGTGGCCAAACCATTTTATCCTTTGTCTTTCTATATAACGCAGGCAGGACTCAGTGCCGATAGCTGCTCTTACTTCATTTCTCTGCCTGTCTCGTCTTGTGATGTTAAGGGTTTTGCGGAGACATTTCATTTCGCATGCGGTGATTTTGCTTTCATGGGTTTTGCTTAAGGTCCAGGTCTGGCACTGATAACATAATGTTGGTATGAATATTGAGGTGATAAGCTGTCTCTTTGTGTCCATGGAGATGTTTGGATGAGATAGAAGGGGTGTGAGCTGGTAAGGTGACAGCGTTGGCTTTTTGAGTTCGCATTTCTATTTCTTAAAAAGTGCTGTCAAGATATTTAAACTCCTTCACCTGTTTCTGTTGTTTACTATTGACATGGATGTTTCAGTTGTTTATTATTG